AACTCACTGTTCAGCTCGAACCATCACTTGGCTCTTTGCAGTTTTCTGATGCTGAGGAGCTCTGAGTGATGAAGTCTGGGGAGTGTCAGGCTTTGCCTTCCAAGTGCTTTTGCCAGAGCCACGTGCAGTCAGCACTTTGGGAAGCTTTGTAACCAGTCTAGGTTTGGGAAATCTCTGACAGCACAAGGTCACATCCACTACTGTCAAGATTTTTACTCTGGTTCCACCTTTACTGTAAACCAAACCCCTCTTTGAAGGGTTACCTGAGATCTGAGTAAGATGTTATATTTGATTAAATTTATTCTCTTAATATAATGTAAATAGAAGTATTTGCTGTTTCTGTTTTCACTTCTCCTTCTCTTGAGTTTTGGGGTTTATTAAATGGCTTTTTTTTTATAGCCCTTTGGTTTTCATTAAATATTTCCCTCTTTGCTTTGGAAATTTGCTGCTTTTAGCTTGGGGAAAAATGAAACTCCTCAGGACACACAAAATACCAGTTAGAAAGTGGAAGAGAGGGATAAATTGGATGATAATCTCATATTAAAATGAGCTTTAAGACTAAAGTTTTAGTAATAGCTGTTGATGATTTTATGTCCCGAATTTGATCTGTCAATAGATGTAAAGTTTATTGAAATTTGGCACTTTAATTCAGCACTTTTTATGGTAATATATGCAAAATAGATGTGACACCATCTGGATTTAATCTCCTGCCAACATGAGCATGGAATCCTTTGGAGAACACAAGGGAACAATCCTGAACTCCCAAATGCAAAGCTCTTCAGGGCTGTTGTTGCAGGATTTGCCACACACCTGAGAAATGGCAAACTGAGGAACTGCTGCCAAAAATCCACGTTCAGTGTGTGCTTGGAGCTCTGCACCTTGTGTGGTTTGTTTGCCAGAAATCAGGATCGTGTTAGCCAACAGGGTATGGACATGGGAGATGTGGAGGTACCTGAGGTTATTCCTGTCTTGGAATTTTAGGTTCAAACTCTTCTGGTTTGTCTGAGTTTATTTATTTTGAAGAACCAAAGTGGTTTTGGTCCAGTCATCTCTTTGGGATTCTCTCCCACTCGTAGGAATTTAAGGAGGTCACCAAAAGCAGCAGTTGTGGATAAACCTCCCAGTCCTCACAGATCCTGCAGGGAAGTTGCAATTCCCAATGTCTGTTCTTTCCCATCGGGAAAACCTTGCCTGCAATCCCTAAGCAATCTTGTGACTTTTCCGGGTGCTACATGCCTAACTCCTTTATTTAATGAGCATTTAATTAGTATTAAAGTATCTTTCACAGGAACATCAACAACTCACAGCTCTGCTACTTGGGAAGCTCAAACAAGCCCAGCAGAGCTTTAAATTTTTCCTTCCTTGAGAACATCCTGGAGTTGGTGGGTTTGGTTTCTTTGACTAATAGTGGACTTGTTGAGGAGGTAAAGTGAGAGAGAATTGGGGGACAAAGGGTTCAGTGTTGGGGTGGAAATGTTGAGTCAGTGAAACTCTCCAGGTGACAGAGCAGTAGGAAGGTTTGGCTGTTCCCTGCTTCAGGTATGCTCTCTGTGCTCCCAGCTTGGCTTAAGGGAGAACTTTTCCATAGTGCTTTTCTCCCAAAATCCTTGGAAAATGAATGTAGAAGACTATTTTTGCCTTCAGTTTTCTCTGTCACTCTTAGCCTCGCAGGAATTCAAGTTAAAAATGAAGAGCAGCAGCTCTGCATAAATCATCAGTGTTCAGTCCTCACAGATCCTGCAGGAAAGGTGCAATTCCCAATGGCCTCATGCTCCAATCAATCCCCTTAGATGGAAATTGGGAAAACTGGTTGTGCTTTTAACTCATTCATTATCCACCTCTGATCCCTGTGGGATGTTCTTGGGCCGAGGCATAATAACCCCCCAAATCCTACAACGGGAAAGTCTCCAATTTAGCTCCATTTAGAGACTGGAAAACCCACTCATTCCTGCCAGGGAGCAGCTCAGCCTCTTCCAGTCCTGTTTTTCTTGCATCCTGAGCCGGATCTCTCTCACCCTGCAGACAGCAATGCACCTGGCTGGAGGGCTGTGCTCTGGGGCTAAGAATAGAAACCTTCTCGTAATGCAACTCAGCATTTTGTTTTCCTGCCTCGAGTGTTTGGGGCTGTCCTGCAGAGCCAGCAGGTCCCTCAGCTGTGGGAAGCAGGAAGGGGGTGTGGAGCAGCGCTGGGAAATTCCCAGATCTCAGTTCCTTGTGCTTAGCAGAGCTGCAGCGTCACTTCTCCCACAGCACAGCACTGGTGCTGGGACACACTCATGGCACCTCCAGGCTTCTCTCTGCCTTCTGCCACTGCTTTCTTCCTCCTGCTGGCACTGCCTCTCAGCCCTTCCTTGGCATTGCAATGCAAGGAGCATCAATATCCTTTCCATGAGAAATGCTGCAATGACTGTGCCCCTGGTAAGTTGTTTTTGATGGGTATTTGTCCTACTTGCTTGGTGTAACATCTGTTTGTTGGTAGCACAGAGGTGGTAGAAAACAGCTTGGTAGGAATATTTAACCCTAGGAGGGATAACATAGAGAAAAAGTGTTTGAGGAGGAATTTTCCTAGCAGTCTAAACTGCCAAAGATGATTTCTATGAAATGAAACTTAGAAATCCTCTTGGAAAGAGCTAAATGTGCCTTTACCTCTTCTTGTGTCTCTTCCTTAATGTGCTGTTTTAATCTGGGGGAAATTAACTGACAAAAAATGGTAGAGTTTGTGATCCTTTACTATCACATAAAGAAGCTCAGAAATCTTGGATAATATTGGAAAGTTTACTCTAATTCTGTTACTAAACATGTTTTTAGTACATTACTTACATTACTCATGGCTGTTAAAGGAAAAAGATCTGCTTGATTCATAGCTTAGCAAAGTATGACAAGACTTCAATGTTTTTTGTAAGGAAAAATGATGATTTATTAGATGGAGATTACCAAAGTCACTTGCCAGGAAATTGATGTGTTTTCTCCTTTCTGCTTGTAGACACTGAACGAGTTTTTTTTTTTCACACTCTTGAGTGCCTCAAGGCAATTAGTATTGCAATACAAATGCCAAATATCAAACCTCAAATGCTTTAATAGTTGGGATTTCATGATGGAAATGATTTGGTGATGCACACAACTAACAGGGAATGTTGCAATGCCCTTCCCAGAAGAATTTGTATTTGGAAGGCACATGGATATGCCCAAAGGGAGCACAGATCATGTCTATAAATGCAGTTGCAACTTGCAGTATTAACCTCAAAGCTGCTAAATGGGCTAAAATCCACCTTTAATCCAAGACTTGAGGCAGTTTTTTGTGTTACTCTCCAAGTTATTTAACTCCAAGTGTCTCTGAACTCAGTTTGAAGCATATTGAATGCAGAGAATCCTTTCCAATGTTCTTCCTCCTTAAACTTGAAAGGACTTGATCAGGTTTTTGCATGATTAGCAAATCTGCTGCTGTGGGGAAACATTTCTTCATAGTCTCTTCCTCTTAGAAGTGGGTTGGAGATATTATGGTCCCTAAAACTCCTTTCTTTTGCCACTGGTAGTACTCAATAAATGCAGAGTTAGAGTGAACAAGAGACTCGGTGCTTATTGTTCACCTGAAGGAGAGGAAAAGAGAATAGTCAAAGTTGGAGGAGACTTCTAAGATCATCCAGTCGAATAGAGAACCAAATCCAAGTGGAGGACAGAAGTGGAAGAAATAACTCTTTTTGTACCTGTTTGGGGTTACTTTGGGCTGAATTTAGCTCCTAAGGGAAGGCAGAATCTGTCATCAAGCCATTGGAGGTCAGACCTACTGCTCTGCTGTTCTCCTTGAGGTGTCTGTGCTTGAGGTGGTTTATGGAAAGGTGTTCTGGAGAGGTAATACATGGGAGAATCCTATGGGGCATTGCTTCAACTCTCAGCAAGCCATCAGGCCCTTCCCAGCCCCTTTCAGTTTGCAATCATAGACTCATAGAATCATCAAGGCTGGAAGAGACCTCTAAGATCATCAAGTCCAACCATTAATGATGCTATGAGTCAAAACCTTTAGGGATTTGGCACGTCTGGCTCTGCTGAATGCCTTCAGCCCGAGCTGGGAGTGAAGCTGTCACCTTCTGGGCCACGTTTCACCCTCATG